TTTCTTGACAGAGGAAAACGCCTCAGCCGCATTCCTGGGAGGAACAAGGGGTGAGGGGAAAGTGTAATCCCTCTGCTGGGAGCCAGACAACTGGGAGATTTATAGAGGGGCAGGCAGACATAAAAAAGATGTGCACAACAGCAGGATTTCGGCCATGCCTGCAGGGCAGCAGGAGGGAGGGAGGGAGGGAGGCAGGACCACTCACCTTGGTGGCGGTGAAGACAATGATGTGCTGGACATCTCGCCAGGTGAGACACGGCCGCACCTGCAGCATCAGCGCGATCATCCCAGCAGCGAGAGGAGCGGCGGGGCCAATGCCCCGCCTGTGCCCTTCTGCAAATCCCAGTCTGTCGTCACCTTGCGGGAACGAGGAGAGATGCCTCCTGTCAGGCCGCTGCTCGCCGTGCTGCACCGGCTGGGACAGGTGCTCCAGCAACCAAGCACACGGTCTGGGCCCAATTTGGGAAAGGATTCCAGGCTATTTGGTAGCAAATCCCTGACCCTTTTCCCCTGCTGCTGCCCTGTTCTTGTTGTTCTGGTCATGGCTGAGGGAAGCAACAAATACAGACAGTTTCCTTTGGAGAGAGAGAGCAACCGGGCCTCAACTAGGCAACTTTGGGGGAAACTCACAGCAGTTACAATTTGGAACCTTCCTCATGACCTCTGTTGATGACAGCACAACCGGGCCTCTGCAGGGTGACCACACAGGCCTGTAGAGCACCCAGACCCTCAGAACAGGCATCAGTCGGCTCCCAAAACGGGCCACCCCACTGCAGACCAAATGTGTCTGTTGCTCTGTGCTCACCATGGGGAGAGCACCTGCCCTGCCAAAAGCTGTAGCTCTTGTTGCCTTCTATGCTCGAGTTCACAACATCCTGCCAGCTGTTACCAACTCCAGCTTGTGCTTGGACACCGCACGTCCTACAGAGAACACCCCGAGCAGCACCAGGTTTCACTAGGAAATACAGCCACTGCCAGAACCCCTATTAAATTCTTCCCATAAGGAAGCCACACAAGTCTGCTGAAAGAAAAAAACACCTTGCACATGGCTACTGAGAAGTTAACTCTGCCATCACTGAGGCACGGTTAAAGGGCATTTAGGAGCAGACTACCCTCCAGAAGAAGGGCTGTATAAGTTTTAACGCGGTGTGGGCACGCCAGCGCAGCCATCGCAGGACTGCAAAGGCAGCCCCCAGTGCACCGAGAGAGGAACACGCTGGGTCAGGCCTGGGGCTGGTGAAAACAGGCCTGGCTGCTTGGCTTGGGCAAAAAGGACATTTTGTTGACAAGAAGTCATTTTTTGGCAGAAAAAGGGAAAGCGGATAAAAATATTCTGAAAAATTTAGCTGGGAGAGGCACACGTGCCAGAACAGCGAAAGAGCTGAGGCCAAGTAGTTTAAAGAGCCCGACTCCGCTCCTGCATCCCTTCGGAGCAGAAGTGAGGGGAGGCTGGCTGGGCAGGGTGTGCCGCAGCCCCCCAAGCCGAGCTGCTGCCGCCCCCCCCCCCTCCTCTTCAGGAAAGCCCCCGGTGGCACAGAAGTCTCACTCCAGGCTCCTTCCTCGCTGCGCAAACGGGGCACACACGCAGCAGGGTTGAAGTGGCAATACCTTCGCCGGCTGTCCCCAGGGCTGCAACCTCCCTCCTAGAGCAGTATTTATGTAGGACCTAGACAACAAGCACCTTAATTCCCTGCCTCACAGAGGAACCCAACCACCAGCCTAATGCAGACGCGTGGCAATCAGAAGGGACAGAGCTCCATCCCTTCTCCGCACCGAGCTGTTCCAGCCGGGGTGGCCAGCAGAGCCGAGGGCAGGCGCGCTACTCACAATGCTCCTCATCATCTTGTCGCCGCCGCTGAAGGTCACCGCTAACATGGAGGCGCATTCCTCGGCATAGAACGGCATGGAGCCCGTCTCGTCCACCGCACCTGCGAAAAGCAGCAGGCAGTGACCGTCTGAAGCCTGTTTCATTTTAACTGCTGAAATCGCAAGGAGACGAGTCCCTGAGGGCCTGTCCTGCTGGCTGTGCTTTTTCACAGGCTGGGAGCTGGGCAGGGAAACCAGCCCCACGCCTGTACTTTTCACAGCTGGAAGATTTACAGGAAAGGCAGCCATGGTAATTAACCTCTTGCTGTGCTTAGCATTACACCAATCTTCTACCCCCCGTGTAGCTTGAGAAAGTGGTTTAGACATGTTTTTTCCAACACACGTGACAGGAATGCTGCATTTCAGGTCACTCCCTCCACACGGCAGCATGTTTGTCACAGCTCCCATGCTGGAGGCCTGAATGCAGGCAGGAATTTTCTTTGGCCTCCCCTCGCTGCATAGGTCCAAAGAAAAATGGCAGGCTTGAGGGCTGAAGCCCAGCACACCTCTCCACGCTGCCAGAGGACTGACACCTCTCCGTGGATTCCCATTACCCAGCTGGCTTCCAGTCGGGCAGGTTTCGCGCTTTTGGGATGGTCTCATTTTTCCACGTTGGGAAGGAGGACACGCGCACTCACCGATCGTCACGGTGTAGATGGAGTTGGCATAACCATCGTAGTTGCAATTGTCGCTGTGCTGCCCGCCATTGCCACTAGCCACGACGAAAATGCTTCCAAAGCCCCTGCGACCCGCTATGACTCCGTGCTGCAGGGCGGCCTGCGGAGAAGGAACACAACACCAAGATTTTTCCAGCGAGAGCGCGGTATAAAGTCAGCAACATGGCCCCCGTCGGCAGGGCTCGCTCTGGAGCTGGCTCTTCTGCAGCAGCAAGGCTTCCCTGCCGACAGGCGTTCCTCACGCGTGGCCGCTGCCCTTCTGCGCGGCCCCAGCCTCCACATACACTTAATGGGCTTTGCCTTCTCTGACAAACACAACCGCATTGGCCCAGCCTGGGAAGCACATTCCCAGACCAACACCTTGCACAGAAAAGTCATTCCCGCCTAGAAGAAGGGTCTGTGTCCAACAGTGTGTCCAGCAGTGCTGCTAGAAACAAACCCTCCTCGTCTGCCTCCCTTCGGCAGGTGAAGGCACACACTGCGCTGGCCAGAGATCCCTCTGGGCGCTCTGCCATGGCAAAGCCAGCTTTGCTCGCACTCTGTGTCCCAGAGCTTGTCACAGCTGTCTCTGCGTGCAGGAAGAGAATAAATTAACTTGTAGAACTGGAAACCGTTTGTCATCGTGAACTGATCGCTCAGTTGTTAGCGCTGCGCTAACTGCTATCTTGTGGTTAGAAAAGTACAGCCAAAGGCTGCCAAGCAAAAGAGAAATTAGGCAGAATTACACCCCGAGAACAACACAGTGCAAGTTTTGGGGCCCCTCTGTGACCCCACTGCACGGAAACGTGCAACACCTCCGCTGGCAGTGACGGAAGCAAGCGTGCGCTGCACCACAGCATCTTCCCTCCTCGCCTGTCCCGTCAGGCAAGAACCCACGAGCACAAGAGGGGTGACCCAGTGGCAACCTGTGCTGCTGGGACTGGTTTTTACCTTTCCCAGTTGGTGGGGGCCATCCACGGTTTTCCCATCATCATCTGGACCCCAGCTGCAAAGAGAGACACCATGAAGTGACCACCCCAGGAGTCACAGAGAGCAACTCTTCCCCCCGTTACAGTCTGCCACTATAGTGAGCTACAAGCAGCCACCAGCTACTCCCAGCACCACGGCTGGGATCGGTGGGTGCTGCACTTCCTCATCCATCAGGCCGGCCCCCCACTGCTGGGATACGGCTGCCGCGTTTGCGCTGTGCCCCTGGGTCAGATTCCAGCGGACAAAACGTTTTATTTTTATTTAACTACTGGCTTCTCATGGATTCCAGTCCCCGTCACAGGGCTCAGCTGGGGCTCCCCAACCCCAGCAGGGGGCACGGTGCCCCTGCAGCCCAGCCAGCCTGTGGGACGCGCTGAAGCCCTGTTCAGAAGGTGCCACACGCAGCTCAGGCCAGCTCTCCAGGGACAGGAACGCTGAGGGAACTCAGCAGAGGTACCAGCCTGCTCTCAGGACTCACAGTGGTACCGACTTCAGCACCTCAAGGCTGGCTGGAGCCACAGGAGGAGAGGAGCTCACACAGGAGGTGTGAGCATTCAGCCACAAACCGCAACCCCCTCCTGGGCCGAGCGGGGCCCACGGCCCTTTGAAAAGTGTTCCCTGACTCAGGCTCCCCGTGGGACTCACCTGCAGCTGTAGATGTCGTTGATCTGATAGTGCTTGTTGAAGGCGATGGCCTCCATGCTGTCGGTGAGGGGCCCATCCAGCACTCGGATGCCTGCAGGACACAGGAAAACGAACGTGACCAAAGTGGAACCAGGAGGGCGAAGCCTCTTCTCCAAAGCAGACAAAAACAGCTCGATGCTGAGCCTGCTGTGACCCAAACCACTGATCACTACCGTTTTGCATCACAGTTCAGGCTGGCAAAGGATGTTACAAAGGAAACCCAGGCACACATCTCCATTAAGCCTATTTATAACCAGCGCGGCCGCCCACCCATCTTGGTTCCTGCCTGATACGGCGCGTGGG